TTCGGTCAAGGTGCTCCCAAACATGGTCTATTGGATTCATGTCAGGAATTTGGATTACAATGGCAGTGATTTGATTCCTTGCGATTCCTTCCAGGACTTTACTACTTTGCTCGTATCACATGGCCCTCCATCTTCTTGAAAAAAGTAGACATTCTTGTCAATCTGATAAGGTTCAGATAGTGGGAGTAATCCTTTCTCTAATATTTGACAGTATTTTAAACCATTCAACCGCTTGTCAGCAAGAATCAACTTTCCCTCCAAACCAGACAGCGCCCCACAACATTGCACCAATCCCTCCATGTTTCACGGTCGCCTGCAGACATTCAGTGTTCCAAGTTTCATTCTGATTTCTCCAAAGATAAACTTATCTCAAATTCGAATATTGGCCGAATTTACTTTCATCTGACCAAATTACAGACTGCCAAAATTCATATTTGCTCTCGAATTCTCTTGCCCAATCCATACGCCAGTTTCTGTTAACCTCTGGAATCAATGGTTTCTTTCTGGCAACTCTTCTTTGATAGCCTAGCTCTTTCAGAATCTTTCTCACCGCATATTGGCGACATTTGCATGCAGTTGGCGACGTCTTTGATCCTCTGAATACGGTTTCTGATGACTTACTTCTTCAGTGCCCTCTTCTTTCGCTCAGATACGATGTTTGGTCTTCCTGAACATTGTTCCACGGGACAATGGCCTTCTTCATTAAATTGCTTGGCAGTATTATTAAGTGTTTGATGATTAATCTGGAAAAACCTAGCAATTTCTCTATTTGACGTACCACAATGATGCCATTCTATTATTTGCCCTCGTCAACTATCGTTCATAGATGAGAGTAGCTTGATACTAAAACGGTATTGTCTGAAAAAAATGAATAGATTTTAATACACGAAACAAAATTGCTATAAACAAGGGTGGCTAAAAAACCCACTGTAGTGTAGAATTTTTTTTCTTGAAATGTCCTCCAAATAGCGTTTTGCGGATTTAATTTAAATTCTTCTGTCGCTAACAATGAATTCTCTGTTCCAAGCTTTCGTCTACTTTGTTGAAAATATTCTATGATACATATTCTATGATACATATTAATGCCCTTGGTTTTTACATCCGAGAAAATCTTCCAGTGGCTTGATTCATTCATGTGCGTTCGAATTTCTTTATTGCACTCTGTTATCACTTTTTCCTTTATCATTCCCCTTCTTTCCATGGCTGTGACAAAATATCTAATATAGAAATATCGATTCATCTACAAATATTTTTGTGGTTGGTGATTTTAATGCTCATTATGTCAAGTGATTTAATCATTTCAATATTACTAATATTCAATTTTTCGGTTATTCAAACCCTCAGATTTCCCTAATCGGTTCCCTAATAATTCTGATCAACATGTTTATTTACTTGATTTATACCAGCGTACTGATTCGGATTCATTTCCTGATGTTCTTCGCGACACAAATTCAAGTAAAATCTTTCGTCTTCCTATCAAAAAAATTTGTCACAGGTTTCTTCTTAGGTAAAATGATGATATTTGACTTCTCGGAAATCTTCACAGTCTTCTCCTTGGTTCATACCAGCCTGTTCAACCGCTATAGACAACTGGTATCACTTTTTCTAGATGATAGTTCCAATCACAACAGACTCCTCTTTGTGTCTTCTCGTAATAATTGTGAACATGTCTTCAAAGGAGCTAAGTCTTTGTTCGCTGACAGAATGAGGCACCGTATAGTCTCTAATATTTTTGGTTGTCGTGACTTCTTGTGGCTCTGTTATAATGTATTAAATAAGGGTATATATTCTATTACTCCTCTCTTCACTCAATTTAAGGTGTTATCATCATCTGATGATAGAGCAGAGTGTTTGTCTCGTAAATTATCTTCCAATTCTACTCTTAACTCATCTGGAGTATTTTTTGCCTAATTTTCCACTTACAACTGAGTTTCTACTGTGTGATATGCATTTAACTCAGTGGGTGGTTTCTGCTATCATCTCTAAATTGAACTTCTACAAAGTATATGAACATTATGGTATACCTACAATAGTCCTTAAAAAATGTACTCCTGAAATGTCTCTTGTTGTCTCTAAACTATATATTAAATGCCTTGCTGATTCTTGCCTTTCTGTGAGTTGGAAATCCTTTTCTATAGTTGCTGCCTTTTAAGAAATCAGACGAACCGTCTGATCTTTCTAATACATCTTTTTGGGAAAATGCTAACGCCTCTAATCAACTCCGAATTGGTTAAGCATCTCACTACGTAGGTGAGATGCATTCAGACAAGCACTATGGCCGTTACTTTGGATATCTAAGAGCTATGTAGACGGGACAATAACCTAGTGAATTAAATCATTGATTGGTGACTTTGGTGATATGTTGATTGTGAGTTCAATCTCTGGACCGGGCAGTATGTACTTGGACTCAGTGGAACGGCACGAGCAATAATTGAGCAGTACTAAAAATAAGAACTAGACTATATCCTTATACATGGAGAGTGGAACAAGAACAGTCTACCCCGTAGAGTAAATAAAGCGTTCAGTTCAGAATACGTTAACCAGGTGTACCTGTGGAAGGTCGAGATGTACAACAGTCGAAATGTTGTGATGATAGCAAGAAAGATGAGGACAATACTCCATAAATATCAATATAAATGGTACAAATAACTTACATGCTGTTCGATAGTTGATGTAAACTCCATGTGACCATCCTTTTAAGGTCATCAGGAAAAAAACATATTAAAGTACAATGCAAACAGAGTCGGCACATATCTCCTTGCTCAACACAATTTCCAACCAAGACTGAATTAGAGAGCTTACCACTTACATTGACACATGCTTTCTTTCTTTCATGAGAACGTTTAAGAAAGACAAGCCTATCAGGGCGTCCAAGATTTTCAGTTTCATGAGGTATCAAAGCCATCGTTATATCAACGAAGACATGATAGAGGTTCATCATTTGCTCAATGCAATACTCCTTCAATTGCCTTATAGAAAATATGTTTGCTGTCCCCCTGTCATGTATAAAACTGTACTTTGACTCAAGAAGTATTTCATCAGCGATGTTATTAAGAAGTTTGTCTAGCAAAACACCTTGCTTACAACATAGAGAAGAGTCTTATCAGAAGTATCTTTGATTTTCCACCTGAAACCGAGTCATTAATTTTCGTCCATGGTTTCCGATATCAGCTGTAAACTTGATCCCAAAAAGCATGCAGATGCGATGACATTCCTGCAATTGTCCTAAAGAAATGTGCTCCTAACATGGCATCTTTTCTCTATAAATTCTACAATAAATAGCTTGTTGCTTTCAAGAACTCGGGTGAACTATTTGATCGTTCGAACTATCGACCTGTTAAGTTTCTACTTCTTGATAAAGTATTTGAGGTTCTAATCAATTACGACTTGGTTAGCCTCTTAACTCTCAGGGTCTTCTTTCAGACAAATAATATGACTTTCTCTTGTTTAGGTTAACCGCCAATTTGTCAACGCTTGTCTCTGAAAGAATCTGTTATACTTTAAATAAGAATGGCGAAGATCGGACTGCGGTTTTAAATATTAAATAAAGAGTTTGACAGGGTCCGGCATGATGGTCTGCTTCACACCACTATTGTGTCTCTGGTCGAATTCTTGATTTGATTCAATCTTTCTTAGCAAACCACGTAATGGAAGTCGTGTTGAACAGCTACATTTTTTACATTAATGCAGGAGTCCCCCGAGGCTTTATTCTTGGACCTACTTCGTTTCTTACCTTCATCAACGATTCCCAGTGTCATTACTCGGTAACTATGCTGAAGACATAATTATTTATTCTTGTTTTAATAGTAAAACCAATAGGCTCGATAAAGTTAAATTAGCAGCGGATCTCGAGACAGTCTATTGTTAAATAGGACAACAAATGGCTTGTAAACTTTAAAGCCTTCAAAGCTAAACTGTTGTTTTTTATCGCCTTAGAGAAACATTTTTGCCTTCAATGAGCATGGTTGATGCCAACCTCCAGAAGAGAATCTCTATTACGTCTTCACGATTTTACGTTTTCTACTGACATGAAGTGGAATGATTATATTGAAATTTCTAGGTCTGCTGTGTCATGCTAGACGATTTTTCTCACCAGAAATGCTTACATGTTTATAACTCTACCATTCATCTCTGCATTGAATATTGCTGCCACATCTGGACTGGTACTGCATATCTCGAGATTCTTGACAAAATCCAAAGAAGAAGCAGTAATGCTATCGGACCTGACTTAGTATCTTAGCTTCAATCACACCGTAACGCAGCCTCTCTGTGCCTTTTCTATAAATATTTTTTATATCAATTGTTCTGATGAGCTTTCTTCGACTTCATGAATTTATGCATAGCACTAGGTTGGCAACTACATCTCATCACTCTACTGTTTAAAGAGCTAAATGTAATCGTAAGTTCTATTCTAATAGTTTACTCTCTTGCACTTCTCGACTGTGGAACTCTCTTCTAACTTGTTGCATCCTGTCAACGGCGATCTTCAAAGATTTAAATGTAATGTTAATCGCCATCTTTCTTTTTTAATCTTGTTTTATTTTTTATTCTCCTTTCTCCTCAATATTATTTTCTCATTTTAATCTCTTGCGTTCTAGTGGCTTCATCGCTTTGTTTGGGATCAAATGATTAAAAAAACACAGTAATTCCCACATTCGTCTTTGTGCAGATGATTCTCTGTTCAAAGCTTTTCTTTACTAAAAAGCATTATGCAGAAGTGTCACTTGATTTCTTTTAACATACGTACTTAGAAACAGAGTGGAAATCGAAATCAACACTGCATAACAGTTACACACAGCTATCAAAATTTAACTGTATAGAAAAATATAAGTATAGTAAATTGATTGAATTAGTTGTTTAAATACATTTTGGAAACATTTTCAAAATCATGATAATTAAATTTACTATTCTTTGATCAAAATACTTATTAATTTTAATTCAATGATTTTTTTTTATTCTCTTCGCCTTCTAATTAAATGTATGACTTTTTTTCTCTGCAGTATGGCAGTATGTTGACATTAAAGCATATATCTGGAGATGAAAACCTGTTTTGCTGTCCATATAAATATGATGCACCTATTCTTTAGGCTCTGCAGGCAAATATGGCAGCAGCAGCAGAAGCATCAGAGCTGAGTTTGAATGATCATCCAGTTGATGACTTTTCAGCCAACGAAATGGTCTGCCTTGAATCAGAACACATGGTAGATGTAAGTAATCTTCTCTTTCTATATTTCTTGATCAAATTATGGATTCAAAGTCTCTTTAATTTCTGAATTTTTTTAAACAACGTATTATACCTGAATCTTTATTATTTTTATCAGCCTTCTTCTTCAGCCGTGTTACATCCAATAGCCTTCAAGTTGGTTTTAAATAGAATCCCTTATTTTATTCCAAGGATATATTATTTTCATCCTTTACTTTCTGTTATATCCAGTATATTTCTTAGAGATTTCAATTAGCAGCTCCTCCATTCTGATAATCTAACCTATACATATTATCACTTCGACTGAAGCGGTACACTTCTACACTGCCTCTCCTAAAGACTGAACTCACAGTTTCAAATAATTAAAAGTACTTCCATGGAAGAATTTTATATCCAACAGACTATGTTGGGATGTACACTGGTTAAATCTTTGTAATAAAATAAATGATGAGGTTATAATATTTGATTGTTTATTTTACGGTTATATTAATGATCTCTACTTTCCGCTCATTCGGTCCTCCCCTCTCATCGGCCCTTCTGTCTTTATTTCTCCCTATGTCCTCGCTTTGTTTTCCTCTCCCTCGCTCTGTTTTCCCCTCTCTTGCCCTCCTGCTTATACTTGGCAATTCGATGTATCTGTTGATTTTTTTTTTTTTTTTTTTTTGTCTATTAGTCAGGAACCTGTCACTAACATACCGATTGCGATTCATTTCATGATTTTCTTGAATCGTCCACTGGAATAAAAATTTAAGGTGAAATCATATTCTTCTCCTTGGTTCACGCCCATGGTTTCCACGATCATCTCTAAACTGCATTCCCACAAAACATGTGAACCATCTGATCCTTCTCACTACCGTCATACTAACCATCTACCTCTTTTTGGAAAAATACTAGCGGCTCTAATCAACACTCAATTGGTTAATAATCTCACTTCGCTGGGTCTTCTTTCAAACAAGCAATATGAATTTCGCTTCTCTAGATTTACTACTGATGTATTAGCAGTTATTGTTCAGTTACTCTATTAAACTTTAGCTAGGAATAATGGAGCTCGGACTGTTACTTCGAGTATAGGCGTTGACAGGGTTTGGCATGCTAATCTTCACATGTATTTCTGTAGGAATTTTTATCTGATGTAATATTTCTTATTAAATCACAAAATGCAAGTTGTCATGAAGAGCAACTCTTCTCTATCTTTTTGCATTAATGTGGGTGCCCCCGACAGTTCTTGTTGTTCCTAATTTTCATCAACGACCTTCGTGGTGTCTATGCTGATGACACAACTATTTACTCCTGTTTTAATGGTAAGTCTAATCGAACCGATTAGACTTACCATTAAAACAGGAGTAAATAGTAAAGCAAAATTGACAGCTGAACTAAAAAAATTTGATCTACAATCTGTTGGTAACCGAAGAAAAGAAATATCTGGTTAATTTTAACGCCGCTAAAACGAAACTGCTCTCTTTTAATCATTTTACAGAATCTTTTTTGACTCCTCGGACTAACGTTTTCCACTGGCATTGAATGGAAATATCATATTGAATCAAGTGCTACATCTGCTGCTAGGAATGTCGGTTAACCGTTTTGTGCTTAACAATATTTTAAAGATTCCCAATAAAATCTAAAGAAAAATCTGCAATTTCATTTGTCATGACCTGGCATCTTGATTTCAAACAAACTGCTAAATCATACCTTTCCTGAGCCTTATCTATAAATGTTTTCATATTAATTGTTCTGATGAGCTTTCCTCTTTGGTATCTCGACTTCAAGAATTTAAACGTAGTACTAGTTTGGCAACAAGGTTTGACATACTGGTCTTTTTCATTTTGCTGATGAAATGACTATATATTACCGTAAGTTCTATGCTAACAGTTTCTTCTCTCGCACTTTTCACTTGCGGAAGTCTCTTCCATTTTCTTGTTTTCCAGTCAACTTTGATTTTCTTTTGTCTGGTTATTGCTGTTCTTTTAGTGTGCTCTCTCCTTAATAATGTTTTACTTTTTCTCTGATTCGTTCACACTATGTAACCCACTTGCATCATAGTGGCTTTATTGTCTTGCTTGCGTGAAATGATTTTTTTTAAAAAAACTTTAAGATAAAATCTTGTCCATGAAAATGGACAAAGAAAATCTATTTCTCAAAAATAGAATTTAATATGAAAAAATAGTAACCATCAAATGATTTTCATGTAGTTGCTGTGATTTTTCATGCTTAACTCAATAAAGACACAGACTCAATAGAACAACAGTTAATGTTGTATGTAACTTTCAGTTAAGCTATATTTGTACCTTCATGCATGTTCATAATATTAAGTAATTGTCTTAGTTGTCCTGCCTGACGCATTTCATTAAGTTTTTACTAGTTTTTTGTTTGTTTGTTTTTTCCATGTTTATGGATTTTTATTGCAATGCTCAAATAATTTTATCACAAATATTATAATTGTCAAATAACATGGATTATGAACAAACAAACAAAAAAATCCTTTTTTCAATGTTTGTTTAAACTAATCAATTAAAAGCTTAAAATGTTCACTTGTTTGTTGATAAACTACATTTTCTAATTAAATGTAAATGTTTCGCAAACATATTTTGATTAAAGTAACAGTATTTTATAATTTTTTTAACCCTTTTGTATCTGGTCTTAAGATTTTGACCAGGGCTGTATGTATTTGTCTTCACCAATGAAAAAAGATTCACGTATTCTTTCAATTCCTAATGATGCTTCCTAATTATTACTGTGGTTCTTTCTCTGTCCATGTATATTCTTGTCTTCAACAATGAAAAGAGATTCCCATATATTAGACGTTTCAATAAGCAATGGTGCTCCCGAATTAGTTCTGTGATTTTATCACTTTAAAGACATGTACTTATCTTCACCAATGAAAAGACATTCTTGTATCATCTATTAGTGCTTTCCATTCGCAATGAAACTTTTGAATTATTACTGTGTTTCTATCACTCTAACGATATGTACTTTTCTTCACTAATGAAAAGGGATTCGCATATTTTTCCAATTCCTATTGATGCTGAGTACATATATTCTGATCTCGACCAATGAGAAGGGATTCCATATATTAGTTCTTTGAATTAGCAATGATTCTTCAGAATTATTTCTATGACTCTATTAATTTAGAGATATGTACTTGTCTTCACCAATGAAAAGAGATTCGCGTATTCTTTCAATTCCTAATGATGCTACCTAATTATTACTGTCATTCTTTCTCTGTCTATATATATTCTGGTTTTCAGCAATTAAAAATATTACCCTATATTAGTCGTTTAATTAGCAATGACAATTTCTAATTATTACTAAAATTCTCTCATTTTGTACTTTTCTTCAGCAATGAAAGAGATTCCCGTATTCTTTCAATTCCTATTGATACTTCCTAATTATTATTGTGAGTCTTTTTCTCACCATATATATTCTGGTCTTCACCAATGAAAAGAGATTCCCATATATTAGTTCTTTGAATTAGCAATGATGCTTCTGAATTATTACTGTGATTCTATCATTTTAAATATATGTAATTGTCTTTACCAATGTAAAGATATTTGCGTATTCTTTCAATACCTAATGATGTTTCTTAATTATTACTGTGATTCTTTCTATGTCCATATATAGTCTTGTTTTCAGTAGCAAAAAGATATTACTATATATTAGTTCTTTCAATTCACAATGAGGCTTCCGAATTATTACTATGATTCTATCACTTTAAAGATATGTAAAGGGAGTTCTGATTTTTAGTTCATTCAATTGCCAATCATGCGTCCTAATTATTATTTGTTTCTTTTTCTGTCTACATTTATGGTCTTCACCGACGAAAATAAATTTCTGTATATTAGTTCTTTCAATTCTCAATGATGTTTCTTAATTATTTCTATGACTCTGTTCAGATATGTTCTGTTCTTCAACAATATAAACTCTACATTTGACTACTGCTGCTGTTACTGCTGCTAATATTACTCTACAGGATCATTTGTTTAATTCTCCATTTCAATGTAAATTGTCTTCATTTGAAGCTTTCAATTTCAGGTGCTATGTCAGCTAAAACAAAAACTAAAAAAAACTCTGACTCGCCTGTTGAATTCTTTGCGATATTAGCTAAAATTCATTTTTGCAATGGCAAAAGACGTGTTACAATGTATTCTACCAGATACGCTCCCAAGCATTGGGATATCACTTCGGAGGTTACTAACTGCCATATAATGCTATTATATAATTCCCACTGATGATTATAAAGTGTTGTTCAGTTAGTGAAAATTCCATGGCGGAAAGGATCTCACATGTGATGATCAAATACGTGTGTGAATGCATGTCAAAATGGAATAAAACTCATTCATTATAATAAATTAACTTAATTTGATAGCAAAAGTATTTTAAAATCAACACTCAGTCTCTGAAATAGTACAGTTGCTTTGATCAAGTTTGATAGATCAGATTGATAAAACGGTGATTTGCACTAAATATAAATGGAATATAATGCTAAAACTCTATTTTCATTTTCGACATTATCCAGCTTCTATATAGCATTGCATTGTCCATGAATAAACTGTAGAACAGAATAACTTATATTAAAAGTATTGCGAGCAGGCACTAGCCTCCTTTCCTGAATTTCATCATTCTTAATTTTAAGAATAAGAGAAAGGCAAATTTCTCAACTTGTTACTCAAATTTTCTCATTCTTGTTACTCCAAAATGACATGTATTTCTTTAAGGTTGATATTTACGACAGAAGCGCAATGTACTCTCGTCAATGCATCTAAGAATGCGTTTTTGATGCCCGGTCGATGTCTAATACCGTATTTGTAAGTGGAATGTTCAATTTGCCAGTCGTGAATTTTGTTGTGTTCAAATCTTATCAAAATCGTAAGAGAGATTTTTAGTCCTTGACATGAATAAACTATTTATCTTTCAGGTAATGACTCAATTGCATCAATGGTTACATTAGTTTCTTTCTCTACTGGGGAGTGGTTTCGTTCCGAGGGGTTTAGAGTTCTGAACCAGAGT